TTGAATTACTTGTCTATCAACATTATAAGACATTTGGAGTGCAAATCCACCTTATTTTGCAATTTAATTGTTCGTACTCGTGCACGTCTTGTCATTACCACACAATTGAGCGGTTTATGTGTTTATATGACGAAACCAATCATTGAATCACATGTTTATCAACATTACAAGACATTTGGAGTGCAAATCCACCTTATTGTACAATTTGGACTTCGTACTAAGAGTTCGTACTCGTGCACGTCTTGTAATTATCACACAATTGAGCGGTTTATGTGTTTATATGACTAAACCAATCATTGAATCACATGTCTATCAACATTACAAGACATTTGGAATGCAAATCCACCTTATTGTGCAATTTGGACACGGTACTAAGAGTTTGTACTCGTGCACGTCTTGTCATTATGACACAATTAAGCGGTTTATGTGTTTATATGACTAAACCAATCATTGAATCACTTGTCTATCAACATTATAAGACATTTGGAGTGCAAATCCACCTTATTGTGCAATTTGGACACGGTACTAATTGTTCGTACTCGTGCACGTCTTGTCATTATGACACAATTAAGTGGTTTATGTGTTTATATGACTAAACCAATCATTGAATCACATGTCTATCAACATTACAAGACATTTGGAATGCAAATCCACCTTATTGTACAATTTGGACTTTGTACTAAGAGTTCGTACTCGTGCACGTCTTGTAATTATCACACAATTGAGCGGTTTATGTGTTTATATGACTAAACCAATCATTGAATCACATGTCTATCAAAATTACAAGACATTTGGAGTGCAAATCCACCTTATTGTGCAATTTGGACACGGTACTAAGAGTTTGTACTCCTGCAAATCTTGTCGTTATGACACAATTAAGCAGTTTATGTGTTTATATGACTAAACCAATCATTGAATCACTTGTCTATCAACATTATAAGACATTTGGAGTGCAAATCCACCTTATTGTGCAATTTGGACACGGTACTAATTGTTCGTACTCGTGCACGTCTTGTCATTACCACACAATTGAGCGGTTTATGTGTTTATATGACGAAACCAATCATTGAATCACATGTTTATCAACATTACAAGACATTCGGAGTGCAAATCCACTTTATTGTACAATTTGGACTTCGTACTAAGAGTTCGTACTCTTGCACGTTTTGTAATTATCACACAATTGAGCGGTTTATGTGTTTATATGACTAAACCAATCATTGAATCACATGTCTATCAACATTACAAGACATTTGGAGTGCAAATCCACAATATTGTGCAATTTGGACACGGTACTAAGAGTTCGTACTTGTGCACGTCTTGTCATTATGACACAATTAAGTGGTTTATGTATTTATATGACTAAACCAGTCATTGAATCACATGTCTATCAACATTACAAGATATTTGGGGTGCAAATCCACCTTATTGTACAATTTGGTCACGGTACTAAAAGTTCGTACTCGTGCACGTCTTCTCATTATGACACAATTAAGTTATTTATGTGTTTATATGACTAAACTAATATTGAATCACTTGTCAATCAACATTCCAAGACATTTGGAGTGCAAATCCACCTTATTGTGCAATTTGGACACGGTACTAAGAGTTTGTACTCCTGCAAGTCTTGTCGTTGTGACACAATTAAGCGGTTTATGTGTTTATATGACTAAACCAATCATTGAATTACTTGTCTATCAACATTATAAGACATTTGGAGTGCAAATCCACCTTATTGTGCAATTTGGACACGGTACTAATTGTTCGTACTCGTGCACGTCTTGTCATTACCAAACAATTGAGCGGTTTATGTGTTTATATGACGAAACCAATCATTGAATCACATATTTATCAACATTACAAGACATTTGGAGTGCAAATCCACCTTATTGTACAATTTGGACTTCGTACTAAGAGTTCATACTCGTGCACGTCTTGTAATTATCACACAATTGAGCGGTTTATGTGTTTATATGACTAAACCAATCATTGAATCACATGTCTATCAACATTACAAGACATTTGGAGTGCAAATCCACCTTATTGTGCGATTTGGACACGGTACTAAGAGTTTGTACTCCTGCAAGTCTTGTCGTTATGACTCAATTAAGCGGTTTATGTGTTTATATGACTAAACCAATCAATGAATCACTTGTCTATCAACATTATAAGACATTTGGTGTGCAAATCCACCTTATTGTGCAATTTGGACACGGTACTAATTGTTCGTACTCGTGCACGTCTTGTCATTACCACACAATTGAGCGGTTTATGTGTTTATATGACTAAACCAATCATTGAATCACATGTCTATCAACATTACAAGACATTTGGAGTACAAATCCACAATATTGTGCAATTTGGACACGGTACTAAGAGTTCGTACTTGTGCACGTCTTGTCATTATGACACAATTAAGTGGTTTATGTATTTATATGACTAAACCAATCATTGAATCACATGTCTATCAACATTACAAGATATTTAAGGTGCAAATCCACCTTATTGTACAATTTGGACACGGTACTAAAAGTTCGTACTCGTGCACGTCTTCTCATTATGACACAATTAAGTTATTTATGTGTTTATATGACTAAACTAATATTGAATCACTTGTCTATCAACATTACAAGACATTTGGAGTGCAAATCCACCTTATTGTGCAATTTGGACACGGTACTAAGTGTTTGTACTCCTGCAAGTCTTGTCGTTGTGACACAATTAAGCGGTTTATGTGTTTATATGACTAAACCAATCATTGAATTACTTGTCTATCAACATTATAAGACATTTGGAGTGCAAATCCACCTTATTGTGCAATTTGGACACGGTACTAATTGTTCGTACCCGTGCACGTCTTGTCATTACCAAACAATTGAGTGGTTTATGTGTTTATAGGACGAAACCAATCATTGAATCACATATTTATCAATATTACAAGACATTTGGAGTGCAAATCCACCTTATTGTACAATTTGGACTTCGTACTAAGAGTTCATACTGGTGAACGTCGTATAATTGTCACACAATTGAGCGGTTTATTTGTTTATATGACTAAACCAATCATTGAATCACATGTCTATCAACATTACAAGACATTTGGAGTGCAAATCCACCTTATTGTGCAATTTGGACACGGTACTAAGAGTTTGTACTCCTGCAAGTCTTGTCGTTATGACACAATTAAGCGGTTTATGTGTTTATATGACTAAACCAATCATTGAATAACTTGTCTATCAACATTATAAGACATTTGGAGTGCAAATCCACCTTATTGTGCAATTTGGACACGGTACTAATTGTTCGTACTCGTGCACGTCTTGTCATTACCACACAATTGAGCGGTTTATGTGTTTATATGACGAAACCAATCATTGAATCACATGTTTATCAACATTACAAGACATTTGGAGTGCAAATCCACCTTATTGTGCAATTTGGACACGGTACTAAGAGTTCGTACTTGTGCACGTCTTGTCATTATGACACAATTAAGTGGTTTATGTATTTATATGACTAAACCAATCATTGAATCACATGTCTATCAACATTACAAGATATTTGGAGTGCAAATCCACCTTATTGTACAATTTGGACACGGTACTAAGAGTTCGTACTCGTGCACGTCTTGTCATTATGACACAATTAAGTGATTTATGTGTTTATATGACTAAACCAATCATTGAATCACTTGTCTATCAACATTATAAGACATTTGGAGTGCAAATCCACCTTATTGTGCAATTTGGACAAGATACTAAGAGTTCGTACTCGTGCACGTCTTGTAATTATCACACAATTGAGCGGTTTATGTGTTTATATGACTAAACTAATCATTGAATCACATGTCTATCAACATTACAAGACATTTGGAGTGCAAATCCACCTTATTGTGCAATTTGGACACGGTACTAAGAGTTTGTACTCCTGCACATCTTGTCGTTATGACTCAATTAAGCGGTTTATGTGTTTATATGACTAAACCAATCATTGAATCACTTGTCTATCAACATTATAAGACATTTGGAGTGCAAATCCACCTTATTGTGCAAATTGGACATGGTACTAATTGTTCGTACTCGTGCACGTCTTGTCATTACCACACAATTAAGCGGTTTATGTGTTTATATGACTAAACCAATCATTGAATCACATATCTATCAACAGAACAAGATATTTTGATTGCAAACCCACCTTATTGTACAATTTAGACACGGTACTAAGAGTTCGTAGTCGTGCACGTCTTGTCGTTATGACACAATTAAGTGGTTTATGTGTTTATATGACTAAACCAATCATTGAATTACTTGTCTATCAACATTATAAGACATTTGGAGTGAAAATCCACCTTATTGTGCAATTTGGACATGGTACTAATTGTTCGTACTCGTGCACGTCTTGTCATTACCAAACAATTGAGCAGTTTATGTGTTTATATGACGAAACCAATCATTGAATCACATGTTTATCAACATTACAAGACATTTGGAGTGCAAATCCACCTTATTGTACAATTTGGACTTCGTACTAAGAGTTCGTACTCGTGCACGTCTTGCAAATTGTCACACAATTGAGCGGTTTATGCGTTTATATGACTAAACCAATCATTGAATCGCATGTCTATCAACATTACAAGATATTTGGAGTGCAAATCCACCTTATTGTGCAATTTGGACACGG